GATGAAGTAGGTCCCTGCCAGCCATTGGAGAAATCTGTTCTGAGTTCCCAGCCTTGAGATCAGCTGCTGTGGACCTCTGAGAAGTAGACCAGAAGCTGGGAACTCTACCTTTCTCACTCAGTCCTCAAAGAAATAACATTGGTAATATTTAAAAAAAATAAAGAAAGAAAAAGCCATTTTCCCTTGCATCATGACACTTAGTAAATCAACATCTTGCAGATGGATAACTGACAGATGAGAGAAAATGAAGTTAGAATGGCTCACACGAAAAAGTCTATCTACCCAAGTGTTAGAGAATGGATTCAACGACTCCCTACGCACCTCCCCTTAGGTATCTCGGGGAACACACCACATGTGCATTCTGCGAACACTCTGGGATGCCTCGGATGACATCCCAACCACGCAAAACACACAACCTGCCACCTCTGTGGGGGATGGTGATGATGAAATCAAACTTTTCCATTGTCTGACTCAGCCAGGCTGGGGAAATTGAGCTGAAATGTTGTGTTAATGTTATCTCCAGCCAGGTTTCTGCATTTCAAGTTCCTAAAAGATCAGAGAGGGAGAGATTCTAAGGACTGAGGCCAAGACAGAAAATTGACCTTTCTGGGCAATTTGGAGCAGCTGAAAGTCAAGTGACAGTGGTCTCAAAGGTCACCAAGCTTCCTCGGCGTAGAAGGAGAAGGAATTTGTGGGGGCAGCGTTACTATGTTACCAGTGTTAAATGAAATCTGAAGTTGGGAATCATTTTGTATGTCTGTATGAGTTTAAAACCATTAGGCACACAGATTTGGGGAGCTACCTTTTCCAATTATTTGGGTTACCCAGAGCACATTCATTTATTTATCTACTTATTTTACGGCACAGACATGACTGCTCTTGATTTTGATAACCAGGATACTAAGTGTACGGGGCTGAGGAGGTACCACAGGGAGGTTGAGCATCAGCCGCTGGTGTTTGCAGATTAAGAGACGCAGGCTGCTCCCAGGGAAGAATGGGCTGAGGCTCTGCCTGTCAGCCCCAGAGTGCCTTGTGAAAGCGTGTCCCTTGCTGAGCGTTGAGTACCCCCGCCTTGGTGGAGGAGGTAGGGCCCATTGGGAGGAGTTTGTAGCCTAGACATACGGGTCTCCTGAGTGGACGCATGCCTTTCCTGCGGGAAGGGTTCGTTGTTGCATGAGCCCACCCTCACTCCCGCCCCATCGTCTCCTCTCTTCCACAGTGGCTGCTTCCATTCCTCCTTTTGCCATGTGATGAAGCAGCAGGTGGTCCTTGCCAGGCATGGCCATGTAAGCTTAGGCTCCTCAGTCCCCAGAAGCGTAAGCCACAACAAATCTGTCTTCTTGATAAACTAACCAAGCTCAGATAATCTGCTACAGCAACAGAAAAAAAGAGCGAGACATTTGCCATTGGAAGGTAAGATGCAGGGGCTGGTATTGCAGTGCAGTGCCTTAGGCCACCTCCAGCAGTGCCAGCATCCCTCAGCCAAGCAGTGACTTGAGTCATGGCTACACTGCTTCTCATTCAGCTACCTGCTGTTGATCGATCTACTGGGAGAAACAAAGAGACCACTGCCACCAATGCAGGAAACCTAAATGGTATTCTGGCTCCTGGCTCTGGCCTGGCCTGCCCCTGGCTGTTGTGACCAGCTGGGAAGTGAATCAGCAAACGGAGGATCTCTCTCTCTCTTTTTAGTCCTTTCTCTTTCCCTTCTCTTTTTCTCTCTGTTACTCTATCTTTCAAATAAATAATATTTTTGCAAGATTTCTTAATAAAAATAAAAGTAAGCTGTATTTTCCATTAGAACACCTGCAAGAGATAAAGAGAAATTCAAGCTATTTCCTACTCTGCCTCTTGACAAGTTCAAGATGCTCAAAGTTCCAAACTCAACTTGTACCATCTCTATAAGACTTTGGTGCAGCTAGGCACACATATGGGGTCATGGGCATTGGTGTGTCACAAGAGTTGCTGATCCTGATGGATAAAGAGAGAAGCTTCCCCTTATGAGGGCTCATCCTCTCCGTCCCAGTCTTTGGACGAGTTACAGTGTTCACTTCTTTTTCTCACAGGAGACTTGTTCTGGTTGGGCCTGACAGGAGCAGGTCCTGCACATCTCATTCCCTGAATAGGGGGCGAAGACGCCTGCCCAAGCTTCTAGACCTGGGATCCCACAAGTACAGACAGAGGCAACAAGGTGAGAAAGGTCAGCTACCAAACTTAGCAGGACAGCTTAACATTTTCAAGGCAGAATTGATCAACTCACACCAGGGCTGAATGAGCCTGGGCTGGTTTTCACAGGAGAATTGAAATGAAACTGATCCAAGAGATAGCAGAACTAGGAGGAGACGCCATCTGCCTTCCATCTCTCTTCATTTCCACAGATGCACACCTCTTCCAAGTAATGGCAGTAGGTTTCCTGGGGGCAAAACTTGGAAGTAAATCTTAAAAGATGCACTAATCCTACACTGAGTAGAGTAAAAATATACTTTCTCATTCTAAATTGTTTGGGGTCGTGGAGTATATGGTCATAAGTTGGCCCTCAGAAATCCTGAAGGTAGCAAGCAGTATTTTTTTAGCTAAGTGAGGTGTGGATGAGTGATCTTGCCTGCAGTAGAAGCTGATCCTATGTTGAGAGATTTCTTTAACATCAAGGTCACCTTCTTACTTGTCTGTAGCAAAGGGCGACTCAGTGTGTACATTAGGGTATCACACCAGGCACTGGTCGCAACATGCAGCTTCCCAGCATAGCTGTGAGTCTCCTGGGCATGATGGCTCAGTGGCTAAATCCTTCTTACCTTGCACACTCCAGGTTCCCATACGGGTGCCAGTTCATGTTCTGGCTGCTCCATGTCCCATACAACTCCCAATTTGTAGCCTTGGAAAGCAGTAGAGGATGGCTCAAAGCCTCGGGACCCTGCACCCATTTGGGAGACCAGGAAGAAGCTCCTGGTTTCAGATTGGCTTCGGATAGGCTCAGCTCTGGCCATTGTAGTCATTTGGGGAGTGAGCCAGCGGATGGAAGATTTTTCTCTCTGTATCTCCTTCCCTTCATAAATCTGTTCTGCCTTTTCAACAAAAATAAATACATCCTAAACAAAACAACAAAACAAAACTAAAAGTCCCACAGATGGCCGAAAAAGCTAAAAGCTCCGCAGACGGTCCCCAAGACAAGTAGCCTCGGTTTTGCTGCAGAATCCAATTGCTCATAAGGTGTTGACAAGTTCAACAACATGGCAGGACCTTGGTTTGAGATAAGAGCAAAGCAACCATTCTAAAAATAGCCACCAAAACATGGGCTGAAGATTGCTGTGGTCTTCGGAGAAAAGCAGTGGCTCACTTCCTTCCGCATCAGCCATGCCCTTCCAACCACTTCTGTTTCTTGACATGAGAAGTAACCAAGGAAGTTCTCTAATGCTTCTTCCCCTGCTCCTTCCAGACCCAGGACACTGCTCTTCTTTCCAAAGCAAATCCCTCCTCTTTCATCCTTTCTGGGAGAGGTCAGTATGGGAGCATAGCCTTTCGACAGAACACACTAGACCCAACTTCACACCTGCCTGTGCCCTCTGTCGGTTGAATTCTACCGTCCATCTCCTGCCCTGCCACCTCACCCAGCCCCACCTCCATCTGACTCTATTTATTCCTCAAACAGGTTAGAGAGATCACCACACTATTGCACAACCTGTGATTTCTCTGCTCTCCTCAGGGCAGCTCAAAGTCGGCTGATGTTCCAGCGTCCGATAACTATCAGAGAAGTAGTAAGTGTGGGATGCTGAATAAGGAGTGGGGTGGTCTATATTACTGATAGATTTGCATGCATTTGCTCTTCAGAGCCGTGAAGTACATATTCTGGCCAACCCGAAGGCTCCCACATCGATAACCACCACCACCACCATCGGTTCTTTCTTCCCCAGTGAAATCCAGTAATTCCAGGTGTACTGCTGTATTACTGGATTCCAATGAATGGCAGCCTTAGCAGCAGGGGCCTCGTTACTGCCACTCAGACACTTCTAAACCAGAAGGATGTGTTCACTTGGCTCAGGGCACTTTCTGAAGGTCTGTCCCACAAGGCAGCCATCAGAGCATGGAGCTACCAAGCACTCAAAATGCAGCCACTCTGAGCTGAGACGTGCTAGCAGAGTTGGAAAAAGTGGAGCAGAATTCTGATATCTTAATATGAAAAATAAAGATGTAAAATATCTCACCCATTTAAAAAAAAAAGTCTTGAGTGCACAATGAAATGGCAATGCCTTGGGTTAAGTAGAATATATTCTTAGAGTTGATGTTGTAATTGTTCTTTTCTTTTTTCCCTCAGTATGGCCCCTAGAAAACTTAAGATGACTCCTGCGGCTTGTTTTCACGGCTCACATTCTGTTTGTCTCGGACAGCTCTGCTCTAGACAAAGCCCAACACCTTCTGCCAGCATTTGTTTCAAAAGATGACGAACCCAGCTAAAGTTTTCTCAGAAGGTATCCTTTTAAAAAACAATTAGAACCTTCTTGTGGGCATCCCGCTGGCTGTGGCGTCCACCTCGGCAGGCTCACACCCTCTCCCAGGAACTGCGGCTGCTTGGGGATATCAGGACTCCCACGGGCCCTGCCTCTCAACAGTCCTCTCCTGGGTTTTCTTTCTTTTTTTAAAGGTATCTAACTATGGGACAGACAGAGCTACTGTGTATGCATACATGTATGTATATCTATGAGGCAGTGAGAGAAACAGCTTTTACCCACTGGTTTATTCCCCACATGGCCACAACAGCCACATCTTGGCCAGGCTGAATCCAGGAGCCAGGAACTGACCACTGAGTCTCACCTGGCTGGCTGGCCGGGGCCCACTTGTGCCATCATCTACTGCTTTCCTAAGGCACACGCTCAGCGTTCTATAGGGGACGCCTGTGGCATGAGTGGCAGCTCAGCTGGATGTGCCACGATGGCAGTACCAGTCTGCCTCTTTCTTGAACGTGCAGGCCTGTACTCACTTTGAACACCTCCAGATCACACACTTACAGGTTTTGAGACGGTGAATCTGCTGCCGGAATACACAGGTACTTCACTCCCTGTAGAATGACAAAACAGAGTGCACAAGTAAAAAGATGACTCTCAGCAGGGAGATGGACTTAAAGGAACGCTCTGCTCAGAGAAAAAAAGTTTAAACAATGAAAAGGAGAAGTTTTTCACTCATCTTTTTGTTGCCAAGGAACTTGGTCAGGGGAGGAGGGAACTCTAATTAAGGTTCCTGGTTATTCTCCAGAATCAGAGATATTCACGCCTTACTTTGTAAATTGCTTGTAGATTTAGGCCAAATTCAAAGGGCAGGTCAGTAAGAGACATCACTGAGTACTTTTCCATAGGTGCCAACAAGTTTCAAAATTATCGTCTCAGATGCTGGGCCACATAATCCACAATCACTGTGTGCCTCACCGAGGATCCCAAAAGTCCAAAGGGAGAAGCACCATTAGCAAAAGCACCATGATTGAACACTTTGCTCACTGCCAACAGCTGTGCTTTCAGCCGTGTGCTAACGGGAGATTTACAGCCTGGCAACAATTTGGTTCAAATTGTTTATTTTTCAGAACTGTAAAAGTTTGTGAATCAAACTAAGACATTTCTTTAAAAAAGAATTATCCCATTTGAGAAAACCTTAACCTCAAAGAGTCCTCTATAAACATGTAAAAAAAAAATCTGTGAATTCATGCTACAAAAATCATGTCAAACTTCAATTTTATCCCAAACCTGGCTGTTTCTCATTCTGAAGGATTACAAGTATAGTCTCAAAGGTCTTCAAGCTCAAATAAAAACAACCTTCTTAGAAAAAATCATTTGCTTATTTATTTATTTGAAAGTCACAGTCACAAAGAGGGAGGGAGAGATACATTCCATCCACTGGTTCACTCCTCAGATGGCCCCAAAGGCCAGTGCCCAAAACTAGCAGCCGCGAGCTTCATCTGGGTCTCCCAAGTGGGTAAGAATTGGACTACCTTTTACAGCTTTTCCCAGGTCATTAGCAGAGAGCTGCATGGGAAGCAGAGCAGCCGGGAGTCAAACTGGTGCCCATTTTGGGATGCTGGAGACATGGGCAGGTGGTTGGATCTGCTGCACCACAAGAATGGTCCCTTGAGCAATAACCTTTGCATGAGAACACAGGTTTATGAGAAATTAGGTGAACCACTTAAAAACTCTTCCTCTTTGAATTACCTAATTTTCACGGAATCTCACCAACTTGCCATGGAGAGCAAAGGGAGAAATATCGTGCAAAACCGAAAAAATAGCCAACCGAGAGAGAATGGGAGATAGTTGGAATTGCCAGGTGTGCAGCACACCTCCCTCAGAAGATCACGCCATGAAACAACCGATGTAGAACTGTCTGGAACACTCAGAAGGCTTCGTGGAGCGTTCTTTGCTGGCTGCTGTCGGCAGGGCGTGTTTGCTAAGACTGTCTGGTGAAGAGCATGTCAGTTTGTGGCTGCCCGGATCCCCACACTGCCTCTGTACCTTCCGCAGCTCTGCACATGAATTCATTTCCCAACGCAGAATGCTCGGGCTGCACAGCCCAACCTGCCTTGCTGTAAGGGCGAGCATAGCAGGCCTGATTCTGTCAATCTTCCCTGTAGGGGAGGGGCGGAGCCAGGTACGTGGAGAGCACCTGTTCTGTTGGCACAGGTGACAGCGCCATCAGCTCGTGTCATGAGGCCTGGGCACCATTCTTGCGACTGCAATTTCCAGCAGTGTCTCCAGCTTTTGTGGGAAAACTACAAGCTCCCAGTCACCTCTTAACCGACCCCTTTCCTGCTGATGGTGATGGAGTGAGGTATGCAGTTTGCAAGAAAGACCTGAGTGAGCAGCACGGTCACCTCTCCCACTTCCCACAACTACGAGGTCAGAAAAAAAAAGTTTCCTCTTTGGATTTCATAGGTACTTATAGATTTCACAGATTTCTGCATAGATTCCACATTAAAAAAAACAGTGAATCATGATTTTTTTTTTTAACAAAAATCACATACGAGCCAGTGTTGTGACACAGCAAGGTAAAAGTCCACTTGCAACCTGGCATCCTGTATCAGGGTGCCAGTTCACATCCTAGGGTGTCTGCCCCCAAGTAGGGGACGCAGATAGAGTGCCCTCAAAGATAACAGACCTCTCTGCTTCTCTCCTCCTTTCTGGTACCCTTAAAAAAAAAAAACCTTAAATCAAGAAAAAAATCATGTACTCTATCAGCACATGTTCCAATAAAGTCTCTTTGGGGTCCTGACAGAGTTCATGGCAATTTATTCACATAGGAACACTCATTTGAGACCAAACACACTTTATTTGTTCATGGGTTCAAGGCCAGGTGGCATGGGCTCAGGCACCTTGGTGATGTGTGTTAAGGTGCCACCTGCCATGCCACATCACACATGGGTGCCAATTTGACCCAGTTTCCTGCTAATGCGCTTGGGAAAGCAGTGGAAAAAGATCCAAGTGCTTGGGTCCCTGCAGTCCCTGCGCCCACTTAGGAGACACGCATGAGTGGAGTTCTTGGTTCCCAGCTCTAGACTGGCCTATCCCTGCCATTATGGCCAGTGGATGGAGGATGTCTTTCTCTGCCTCTCTCTGTAACTTTACCTTTCAAATAAGTAAATAAATAAATATTTATCCCCCCCCCACCAAAAAAGAAAAAGATCCATGAGCACATAATGCAGGGGAGCAACAGGCTTTCTGTCCCCTGAGTTCCACTCAGCCACTGCCGCTGTCCTGCCTTGCTTGCCACTACACTGAGTTTGCCTAGCCCCCAGGGGCTTCCCTGGCCAGTAAGACCAAGCAGCTCTCTGGAAGTCTAAGGCAGCCTGGAAGCCAGGGAGGCCTCGCAGCTGTGATGTATAGGGCAAAAGAACTGCAAAGAAAACATGGCTGTAACACAAGAAGAAATACCAAAGTCATTTCACCCCTTCCCTCCACTGGTGTGGATGAGGCCCTGTCGCCTGCAGTGCCATTGCGATGACTCAGCAGCTTTTCTCTATGATTCTGCAGTGAGAGTTGGACAAGGACGGGACCCAGAAGTCTGTGAAATCCCTTTCCCCACATGCTTCCCCCAGCTTCCCTCCAAAAGGACTTGGTAGGAGCTGGGATTTCCACCTTCCCTTCTCCTGTCAGGTCCACCCAAGCAGGGGCACAGGAGTAGATTCTGCCTCCAAGACAGTCCGGGGATGCCTGCCTGTCACTGTGTCACAGCCTCTTGATTCTAGCAGAATCTACACAGTGCAATCCACGTTTTAGGAGGGGAAAAAACATCAAGAACAGGCATGGGAGGGACAAGGGGGCTGGTGACATTGCTTCTTGTTCCTTTAAGAATATGCATCATAAATGCCCACAGCAGTGTGACTGGAAAGCCCTGTGCTTCCTTCAGACAATTCTGGGATGACATCACGCAGGCAGGGACTGACGCAGGAAAGGAGAACAGGTCGGTCTCCAGGAAGCAAGTGCACTTTTCCAGCTGGGCAAGAGACTAGTGGAATGACCGGAACATAGCAGAGGGCCGCCCTCCCACCCTGAGCCACACAGGACACCTGGCTTACGTTTGTCCAGTAAGGCGGTTTCCTAGCTGTGAAACTTACAAAGAGAAACACAGGGCATGCTGAGGGCCCCTCTGATGTGGAGGCAGGGCAGGGAGATGATACAGCCCTAAGACAGGAGTAGGCCCGCTCAGAGACGCCAGGAGTGATGTCAGGTAGACAGCCAGCACCCACTTGGAGTCTGCCTAGGAGTGCACATGGAGATCCCACCATGGGGGCAATGCAAAGGAAGAAAAGCTCGGTGTGAGCACTCATTGTGTTCTCCTGGCAACCATGGAAAGGGAACGCTGGGCTTCAGGCCACACCATGCACAAGGTACATTGTCCACACCTGTTCTGACCACATTTCCCCTTCCTCCCCCAACCTGTCCACTCAAATGGAACGTGGCTGAGAACCACTTAACTGTGATGAGCTCCAAGGAGCCAGCCAGTTCAGTCGACGAAGGAGAATAACTGTCAAAAACGGGTCAGCTGCTGGCCACCCCAAGAACATCTATTTATTTTGACTTAGTCATCAGTCAAGCACAGAAGGCATCTCTTTGAGGCTGCGGATGACAGAACTGGAGCTGCCCGAGGGAGGCTTCAGCTGCCTGCACACATGTGCGCAGTTCGTGACGGTTACCCACTCATTCAGAAAGCAGCCAGAGCCCAGTGCCGACGCATATCTGCCCTGGCACTGACCAGCTGAGTGCTCCTGCCGGGGGCAGGGCAACAGGTGCCTCAGCCAGCAAGACTGACACCAGGGACCACTCTCTCAGGGTGAGACATAGGGTAAGCCCTGCACTGTGAGGCTACAGGAAGCATAGCCAACTCAAAGGCAAAATATATACATCTATATATAGTGTACATTTTATTTCAGAATATCCTTGAATATGCAAAACAAAAGTTGTGAAGTTGAACCTGGCGTGGTAGCCTAGTGGCTAAAATCCTTGACTTGCATGCACCAAGATCCCATATTGGTGCCTGTTTGTAGCTTAGAAGCCCCACTTCCCATCCAGCTCCCTGCTTGTGGCCTGGAAAAGAGTCGAGGATGGCTCAAAGCCATGGGACCCTCTACCTACGTGAGAGAGTTGGAAGAAGCTCTTGGCTCCTGGCTTCAGATTGGCTCAGCTCGGGCCACTGTAGGTGCCTGGGGAGTGAATCAATGGATGGAAGATCCTCCTTTCTCTCTCTTCTCTGTATATCTCACTTTCCAATAAAAATAAAATAAATCTTTAGAAAAGAAGCTGTGAGGTTATAATTCAAAGGGTCCCCTATACTGTAATTCCATCATTTCCCCATCAATATATTAACATATTATGTTGTACATTATATTATCTTAATGGACCACTTCCACTTGCCTCTAATTTTTTAATGAAAAATCCTGGTATCCTTCCTGGGAATATTCCAGAAAAATCTGGAAAACTCCTAAGTAACATAAATAATATTGATGTTCTCACCAGTGTAGCATTTGCTACAGGGTGTTTATTCCCTCAAAATACTGCATTAAAAAAAATAAAATTTTGTCAT